TCTTTTGTCAAAGTCCCTAACCAAAAGCTTTTAAGGCAGTTAAGCAGCCACTGAGTAAGAGTGAAAGTCCTTACATTTACAGTGAAAAAAGAGAGAGAAGGAATAAATGGTGAGAAACCACAGTGGAGGTAAGTTGTCAGAATTCTGCAGGGTCTGTGCTGAGACCTCTGTTATTTTACAGTATTCATAAATGACCTGGCAAACAGCTAAGAACTGAGATGATAGTAAATGTAATTGTAATGATAGTTATGTGGCATAGTGTGGAATTCTAGAAGGACCTTACGAAATCAAGTAGCAATAAAATAGCAGATAATGATCAAGGTAGATAAATATAAGGAAAAATCAGTTGCTATTCAGAACAGAGATCTTGGTGTTATGATGGGTAATTCCATGAAACTGTCCCTGTTCAGCAGCAGTCAAAGAAGCAAATCGACATTGGGAATTACTAGAGAAGAATAAGGAATTAGCAGAAAACATCCATCCAGTGTAAATCAATGCACGATTCACTCATACTTCTTGAATCTTAAATAGGAGACACAGATTTTCGGTTTCGTCTCTCTTCTGTCTCTTCTAGTAGCAACAGAGAATGAAACGAGATGTAGGTGTCAAGTTCAAAGCAAGAGTTCTTCAAGAAAGAGGAGGCCGAGTTGTGGAACTTGCTGCCAGAGATGTTGAGGTGCAAAGGGCTTACACAGTTCAGGCATGCAATGGACAAGTACCTGAAACAGAGACTCACTCCAGGTTACTGAACAGGCATATTCTGAGCTGCAAAGAGTTGGAAACTGAAAGAGCACTAAGAGGAAATATTGCATATGCTTGCTCTTCTCTTACTCCTAGCAGGTCAATGCTGGCTTAGAAGAACCCTGACTCAGTATGACTGTGCTTCTATGCAAACACACATTTGCTGAAGATTTCAAAATGAAGGCAGAAAAACCCTATTTATCTTCGGTTATAAACTGATTTTTGTAGCATTACTTTCATCTTCACTTGTCATATATGAACTTCCAATAAATCAGCTTTCTTTCTGAATAGAAAAAGGTATAACCGGGGAATATGCTTGAATTTTGAATTTTTCAATTCAGGCTGTAACTCAGCAGGTGGAAAAAAGTCACTTTGCACTTCATGTGATACCCACCAGCATCCATTTCAGACAAGAGGGACTGAATAGAAGTCACAGCATGAAAAGTAGACAAAAGTGAACGTGATGGGGAAGAAAACAATAGCTCCTACCTGGACTGTTTAGACTGCAATGTCAGCATTCAGGAATATCCAATAGTTCCTTGATCTGCCCATTTCACTTTCACCAGAGAGACACAAGTGCAGTGCAAAAAGTTCACTTGTGAACTAATGACTTTGAAGGGGACCAGATAGTGGCAAATTTCAGAAGAAAAACATCATGAAGAGGAGCCAAAGGAGATGCTATTGTAAAGTTACATAGCACCAGAAGCACAGCCAATGGAAGATGATTTTATTTACTAGAGGAAAAGGAAACAGCTGATTCAGAAACAACTATGTGTTTTTGTTTAAACACTCAGCAAGGCTACTCTTTTACTAAAATATTTTGCTTTTCGGCTGTTTAGGAAAGAGTATGTCTTAAGAATGTCATCCACAAAAGCAGAAATACTTTTTCCACATAAGCAGTTTGTTAGCCCAGTTGTAATGCTCTTCCCAGCATGAAAGGAAAGGCATGAATGAGGGTTGAATCCCTCAGTCTAGGACTCAGCATATCGTGATTGACCCTGCATAAACATTTCTCTTCCCAAACCAACAACATTGGCATAACAGTCACACTAAGTACCAGCATGCTTGATAACTCTGCCAGAACTTGTTACCTATATCTTCATCTCAGGAAAGAAAACAGTTGGGGACTGTTCTCTGGTCCCGAGAGCAGGTGGCAAGGAGTGCTGCATACAGCCTACACCAGAGCTCAGTTCAGGTCTCCTCTGTGCTCCACAATATCCCTGAAGCTCTAGGACAACAATTCACTTTCATGTGTTTATTCCAGGTGTGTTGAAATAAAACCATGGCTATTGTGTTACAGGCTGCAAGAGCATTACAGCCTGCAGCATGAAACAGTGTTCGTACTTCAAGTCCTAGGGTGCAGCAGACCATAGGGGATACCCGAAAGTTCAGAATCAGCTGGAAGAGTTCTGGAGACATATGAAAGGTGGAAAGAGCCAAAGATGATTCAGCCTTGTTCATAGTGTTTACTGGGAGCAGTATTCAGTACATGCAATCTCACAGTCATGCCTGGGATCTTAGAGAGTGCCTATGACTAACGGACAGTTGGGGTCCATTGTATGAGACTGCTTCCTCACCAGTTTTATTTAGCAGATTAGATGTAGCCATTGGTGTGCTCAGCATATATCCTGGTATGGTCCTGGTATACTTTTTAGATTTGCTCTGATCTGTGTTTGAGTTTCTCCTCACCAGACTACTAGAAATGAAGGCGAGTGACACCTTTATCTGATCATTTGACTGATGTCACTAGATTGCCTGCTACTCTAAAATTCATGTCTAAAAGAAATTGATAATTTGAACTACAGATACAGCTGCATTTCTACATGCTTCTCCATCGCCTGACTTCAAGATAATTTTTGATGATCTTTCTCAGGCCAGTGGAAGGTCTAAGATCCCTCTGTGAAGCAAAGGTGAAATACAAATTGAATACATCATGCCCAGAGTATAAAGCTCTTTGTCTTTGTTCTGCGGTCTTTCTAATTTCAGCCTGACTTATAAAACTAAGATGTATAATGCCAGGGATCAGCCTAGAACTTTGGCCTGTCATGCATTGTCTGTGAAATTCTTTTTTCCCTTTTACTATTTCTTAGTGCTGCAGCAGATGAATGAGTGGATGTATTATGTGCGTATATGTGTGTCTGTCATCCTCAGTGAGTGTGTCTGCTTCTGTCCTTGACTTACTTTTCTTCTTTCTTCATGTTTCTTTTTTCTTCCTTATTACAATATCTCAGTTCTAGTCAGACCCTCTCTGTTCAACACTTCTTTTATTCCTAAAACACTCATAATGCTATTCAGAGAATATCTGTACAGAAGGAATAGACAGAATACAAACAGAGTGCTTACCACTGGGTAAATGATGTGCTCCCTGAGATATTTTCATGCACTGCACGCACTGTTGTCCTTCACTTAAATTATGAAATAAAAAGAAATGTATCTACCTTTCTTTTGAATTCTTGAAATAAGTTTGAGCAATTATCACCGTATATTTGTCTTGTTGGGTTGAAACCAGTAATAAAAAGGCTAGAAACAACAAAGACTTAGACTCAATAGGAAATACGAATGTGTCAGGTTCTTCAGGAACTGACAAAAGAAGCATGCTTTTACAGAGAATAGGTTACCAAGTAAAAGCCAGAAAATCTCCTAACCTACCAGTATGAACGTTAAGATTCTTGAGAGTATTTCAGGTACATTCAAAAACATTTTAATTTGGATTTTATTATCAAGGATTACATAATGTTAATCTCCCACTACCAAGTCACTCAGGTCACAAATGCCCTGTTCCTGTTCTCACAGACAAGGCTTTGTCTGAGCCAGTGAAGGAAACGAAATCTTTTTTAAGGATTGCCCCTTCTTCCCTGGCTTGAGGACAAGTAAAACGGCCTCAGTGACTTGACTGGTTGCAAGGCAACATAAGCATACATGTTGGGAAGAAAACCTCTCTCTCTCCTGATCTCTCCCAGGATTCAGTTTTGGGGATTTACTGACAGCATCACAGTAATCACTTTTTGCAACTGTGAGTAGGTTTTCCCCTAGTGGCAGGATAGTATCAGTTGAGAGGGGGAGATCTATTGGGTTTTCCCTTGTTATTTTTGAGCTTTTAAAAGATATTTCCTACTGCGGTCTACAAATCTAATCTGCACAGTAGGGTATAAATGCATGTTGTCCTATAATCTGATAGATTGCCTGCCCCACTCCCCACTCCAGTACAAGGAAGGCATGGATAAACTGGAGCAAGTTCAGTAGATGGTGACCATGACAGTCAGAGGCCAAAGCACTTGCTCTGAGGAGAGGCTGAGAGAGCTGGGCTTGTTCACCCAGGAGAATAGGTGGTTGAATGGCAGCCCCCCAGCTGCTACTGGGAGGTTGATGAGAGACAATGGCTATGACTGCACTGAAATGAGGCAGGTTCAAATTGCATAAAGACCGGACTGGATAAAGCCCTGAGCAGCCTGGTCTGACTTCACAGCTGACCCTGCTTTGAGCAGGAGGTTGGTCTAGAGACCTCCTGAGTTCCCTTCCTACCTGAGCTATCCAATGATCCTATCTCCAATACTTGCTGTTCAACAGCAGAGCTAGTTCCCTCACAATTTGGAATAAGACAGAGATGAAGCAAAAGCTTCTTTTAAAGAACAGGCCTAGCACAGCAAAGCAACAACTTAAATTTTTTCCAAGTCTTTCACTTGCAAGTGAAACAAAGACATCATCCCAAGAACGTCACTGTGACCAACAGCTCCTGAAGCAGCCTACCCCTCTAGGGGAAAGAATTCCAGAAGTGCCCTAGCTCTTCCTGGCTGGGGGTCACACCACATTTGCAATATATGTTATTTCTCCTTGTGGTAGCACAGCCAGAAGAACTCAGTATAGTATGATTAGTAGCCAAGCTACAGAATGTAGAAAAAAGAGTCAAAGCTTCTCTTAAACTGCAAAATTGTTCACATTGTTCACTGGAAGCACCATTCACTAGCACAACACAAATGCAAAATGCAGAAGAACCTTTTTAACAGGATGATATCCTTTAGCCTTGAATCAGCCTGTCTATATAATGCCCAGGAAAACACACTGCATTAAGACAGTACAAACTGAAAGGAGATTATTTTATTTTTTTATAGTAATCTGTATAGAACCTCCAATGCCTCTGAAGAAATTTTCATGAACTGATTTCTGTTGTGTGCAACTTCCCTACCTGGTGAATGCAAGAGCCCATAAATACTTCTGCTTCATGCTAAGGCTATGAATTTAAAAATATACCATTAAATTACCTGTTACCGTGAACATGAGAAGCACAAAATGCAAAACTGTAGTGGAGCAAGGTTGGATCAATGACAGAACCATTTTCTGAATGTTCAATCAATTCATTGAGATAGCAAAGATGGCGGTGACAGCCTCTCACTCCGTAGCGAGCACAGTATTCATCTAATACGAAGACTTGACCTGGGCTAAACCAACCCTAAAAGAGAAAGGAAAAAAAATCCCATAACATTTTGAAATTTCTTTCCCCACTCATAGCTTTTAAATCAAACAAAGAACAGAAGCGTATATTTTCATGTGCATTACATAAACTTTTTATACTAGAATGATTTATATCTGACTAATGCTGGTGGCACTGGAAGCTAGATCCAACAATAGTCCTCTTGCTGAAAGGAGTAAATGTCAGGAAACTATTTGCAGTTCTGAGTTACCGCTACTATGAAATATATCATTTACAAAATTATGGTAACGTCTGGTACAGATTCAATTATATCAAACCTAATATAAAATAAACTAACACTTCAAAATAATTGATTTTGTTAAAGTAATTAATTGTAAACTGCAAGAGAACGTCTGGGTAATTGTGAGGGACATTAACATGGACAGTTAAAACACAGTTTCTGGATGGTCAGTTCCCCGTGGCTGGAATTTTACTGTGAGAGAATCACAATTTGACTCTTTACCCTGTTTCTTATATAACATGCGTGCACTTTTAACAACCTTTTAACAGCTTATACTAATAAAGAGATACAAAGCTAGGTAGTTTGTTAAAAACCACCTGAACAAGATGAGTATGATTTGACCTTAAGTAATAATTAGATATTCTGGGGCATACTGAGGGCTTACTTGGGCAGGGTCTTGATGAGAGTGGAACGACGTAACCCTGACACAGACATGAACAAAGTAAAGACTCCTTCCCACCACAAAAACAGTTCTTGAGTGAATCCAGAGTGTAAAAAAAAATAATTGATTCTTGATGTAGAAATGTCAAACAGAAGAGTCTTGATTGCTTTGCCTCCGGATATGAAAAAAGATAGCACAGTGAGCTTCCAAAATGCGGCAGGGAAAAAAACATAAGCCTTGGAAAACCACAGCTACTTCATAGCTGTTCTAAATAAGCATTTTTCTTTGTTCTTTTCTTAACTGTGGTGATATTTCCCTCTCATCATCCCTGCCAAATAGTTAAGAGAGATCGAGGAACACCTGAAGTCATATGTATATGGATAACCTGGATAGGCAAAATGATTTTGCAAGTCATGAATTTATAACATCAGTTTAGCAGCTGAAGAACAGTATTTCCCTGTTGCTTGTGAATATTTCTGCAAACTCAGATGTTTAATATTATGCAAAATATCAGCCAAAATACTATTCAACAATACTCAAAAATATATTCATCTCAGGTTTAAATCATCTATGTTTTAACTTTACCAAAAGACTTGCATGAGGCAGAAATTTAAATTTTGTATTCTCCCTCAACTCTTGAATTTAACATACTATTTGCAAACAAGAACACCTCAAAGTTATTTCGTAAATTTATCTGCTCCTTATTAATTTATTTGAAGTCAGTGTTTCCACTGCCTTTAAAGAGCTTCAGCTGTTTATCTAGAGAACACTTAGCTTTATTACAGCACCCAGAACAGTACTCGGTGTTTTAAACTAATATCCAGTCATGTTGCAATGGCTCATGCAGTTTAACAGTGTTTGCTAGAGAATAGGGTATTCCATTGAGAGAAGAAAAAAAAGGGGGTTTAACTGAGTTTCTGCAATAATATGTATCCTATCCCTAGATATAGTAAACAGTGGCTATCATGATTGATATTCTGCCAATACATCGTCATTGCCACTGATCTCTCTCTACCTTTTTATGGAAAACATGACAAAATGCTGCATGCCAATGCCTAGCAGTACAAAAGGAAATAATTATTAAAATTTCTGTACGTTCTCATAGGAGAAAACTGTGACAGGAATACAAATCTTTAAAGAACTCATTACTTTAACTTCACTATCTGTAAGAGATCTGTTTTAGTGTGGTCATTTTCATATAAATGTGTGTCTTCCTTGCCCTTGTTCAACCTCATACAATGCATAAGTATAATAAACACATAATAACTATATGCTAGAGTATTAGATAACTGCATTTTTTTTACTGCATAATCGCAAAAAAACAACAAAAAAGAAGCTTGCCAATACCGAGAAGAAGGTAAAATTAAAGAATTTTAGGTCATATAGTAATTTAATAAGAGGACTGTGCTTAATCTTAATTCTTACATATCTTTCGGTTTTATTTTTACAAGTTGTATGTGTGGTTAGTCTATATTCATTGAAATAAAGGGATGCATTGTTTCTCGGAATGATAGGAAATGAGCTGTTCAGAAAAGAAAAATCGCACTTATAGGTTCATGTATTCTATTGCTACCTTGACATTCCGAAATTCTTTAATTAAAAATATAGTTAAATATGCAATTTAACAAAAAATTATCACCCATTCTACTTATTAAAAGCTGAATTTTAAAAAGAACAATAAGAAATGCATCTGCTTTATGGTTGCTATAGCACTGTGTATTTCACCTAACCTCTTCTAAAAGTTCCTGATTTCAAGGTTATATTAAGTGTCTTACTATATTATTATTATAAAAAAAGATTTTGACCCCAATGCACTGTTAGAAAGCTAACCATTTTCTCTTTGAGTGCCAATTACTTTGTGCAGATGTACCTTCAAGCCTCTTTTTTGATTCAGTGCACAACCCACAGACAGAAATTGAGTCTTTTAACTTTTTCTATACAATACTTCTCTGGTAGTATTTTAAAAAGGAAGCAACTATCATCAATAATATTTTTTTTTCTTTTTTACACTTGCAAAGAAACCTAAAACACCCATCATTACCTTTGTATTGCATAACTAGTTAGATCAATGGAAAAAAGAAGTAAAAAAAAAGTTATCCTTATGTGCTATGAGACATTTTAGGTCCTTAGTGAGAGATTGCTATTTCAGGCACGGTATCTGGTGAAAAATAAAGCCTCAGGAAGTTATGAGGTCTGGCCCACAGAAACCTGTTTAACAAGTGTATAATTGGATGGACTTACACAAGATTGTTGCTGGTTTTCCCTCCTGAAAACAAAACCAGAAGCAGCCCCACAGCCCCTCAACTCCTAGCCCCGTGGAGCAGAAAACAGAAACTGTTATGTAAGAAAGGGAAAACAGCAGCTACAACTATGGAAGTATGCTATGCCAATATTTTATCTTTTATAGCTGTCTTTGAATGTGAAAAACATTCATTTTGATACAGAGATGACACTTTACTTGGTTTTGTTTAAAAATTATATTCCCATTTGTTTTTCACAATTCAGGTAATACATATATGCCCATATATCTATATTGCCTGTGCTTCTGCTTCCCTTCTTTTGGTGTTTTTCGTTCTTCACACCACAGTGGAACGAAGAATTACAAGACAGGTGAAAATGCCTGACATGAGGTGACTGCATTTGTACCTTAAAATGCCTGTACAGGTGTCAGTAAATCCTACCACAGGAGCTCTTACCATTATCAAAACCTTCTGTTTTTATTCAAAGCTCCACAGAGGACATGATAAATTTCAGCTGATAAAATCAGAGACAGTTTGGGTCTCTTTGCTTTCTATTGAGTGGCACAGCAGCAGCTTGCAAGTGTATAATTTTCAAATTTGAAACCAATCGATTGGACCCTTTATTCCAAGTACAACCGCAGCTATTGAATGAACTAGGAAGAAAGGACTACTTTGTAACAACTATTTCTCACTTCTTTATATCTATCTTCCAGCCAGTACTCACCAAACAAGAATAGGAGTCATTCAATCTGTGATCCAAGGTCTGCCTCTGAAGCAGTCTAAAGAGGGAAGCATGGTCAAATTTGCAGGGATTAGCAGAAATAAACTCATCCATGCCATGTTTCTGACCACGATCTGTATCTGTTCATACAAAGGAAAAATGTGCAGAACAATACACGTGAGTGCGTGTGCAGATTTACAAACACAAGTATACATGTAGTATGTAAGCCTCAACATATAAAGTTTCTTGGAAATATTTTAAAGAAACAGGTTTCATAAGTAGATGCTTGCAGGTGACATGATAGAACATTGGTTTTTAATCTGAAAATAATACTATTGAATTATTTTTCCATCATATCAATCTATGGAGTGTAACAGTGGAAACAAATACAGTTTCTAACCACTGACAGATAAAACAAAACAATTTAGAAAGGCTACCTGAAAATACAACATAGCACACTGAAACAATTCTTAAAGCATGGTTTTCTAGTGGAGCTCTTTAAAAGTTACAATTTACAAAACAATGCAATGAGCACAAACCCCCCGTGTTCTATAATTTCCTGGTTTTGTGCGGTATTCTTTCTAATTTTAGCAAAATAACCAAGTAAATACCATTCCCGCCACTGCAAAAAGAAAAGGTTTATGCATTTATTTCTTCAGATAAGAAAGAGCATCTTTACTGCAGATCAAAGTACCACTCATAGAAATATTCATCATGGCTTGAAGCCTACTTCTCAAATGGCAAACTGGAGCAGAAATGAACACACTGGCTTAGCTAGGTCATTTCCAGCCTTCTTTTTGTACTCAGCTTTTAATGAGACAAACCTTAATGTAGTAATGGCAAAGAGCTCCTTCAACCTTCCAGCAAAGAGTAGCGAAAAAGGGAGCAGCATTTTTGTGTAAATACATCGAGAAAACATACCATCCCAAATGGCACTTCAATCAAAGGCCCAAATTTATTGTTCTTCACAGACTGCATCTTTCAACGCCTTTAAACCCCGCGGGTTTATCAAAAGAGAAGCTCTAGTGATTGCTTTCATTAATGCTATGTTTTGTCAAAGTCCTCAATGTGAATTATCTAGCAAGTATGGACAGAAAAAGCCTTACAGTGCCCAAAAGGACTAGTTATGTATTAGCACATTAGCTGTCTTGGATTCTATAGACTGTACTGGGGTGAACAGTCCTATCAACTTATAAATTGACTTCCCCTTTCAATAGGGTCTTAGCTCTTTGTTCCTTTAAATTCAAACCTAAGTCTTTTTATGTTCGTTACTAGAAAAGTATAGATCTAAGTGTATCCTAAATGCAATTTTGAAAACCTGCATAGTACAAACCTAAAATTTCTAAAGAAAAGGAGACAAAAGTTTATTGATTAAACCCAATTATAGAGTCAGGTTCATAATAAAACTCAATATTGATCTGTGGGCATGATGCTAACATAATCAGTCACATTTAGAAATTTAGCCCCAGATCATATTGATCCATGTCAAGTCCAACTTTCAGCTGTATTTGTGGATGGGAGAATTATTTAATTCAAGCTGAAGGATCTGCAGCATCACATCCTGGAAAGATGCAGAAACTAATTCATATCACTTGGCTTTGCATTGTCAAAGCAAGAGTCACATCCATGTGACAGATTTCACCAAGGTGGATGTGGCAAATAAACAGTATGACAATATATCGATGGTGTAAGGTATGAGACCATCGTCCCAGAGAAACGGCAGCATATATTTTTAATGGTTTAAGGATCAGTAGCATATGTGATTACATAGACTAGCCGTATTTCCATGAGCATTAGGCTAGCCTGTCATTAATGACAAACTTAGCTCATATTTTTGACATAGGTACATGAAATGCTCTCTCTAAAATGTTTTTAAACACACGAATTCAAAGATAAACAACTGATACCAACACAACTACATAACTGAAAGTACTAAACTACAATGTGAAGTTATCTATGGTTTCCAAAACGATCTACACACAGACAAGTTTTCCACACCCGATCTGTTTAATGTGTCACTGACTTCTACATTTCCTATAAGTTTTCCTTCTTATATGGATATCTGATTTATTGAGTCACTATTTAAAGTAAGACAGATTACAGAAAAGAAGAAGGATTAATATTTCTGTCTGCCACCGGTCTCAGGGACAAATTACACACAGCTGAATCTTAATTTAACTGGCTTGATTTTTTTTCTTTGGGTAATGACAAAAATGTAAAAGATTCTGTTTTTTAAAAAGAAAATCTGTGCAAGTACTGACAAATAATTAAGTATTTTGAAATCAGGAGACTGGATGTTGCAAAGGAAACAGATTCAACATTCTGATAGAGTCATCTAGATGATCACAAGGTGTAGGGTGACTGTAAGGTGAATATGATGCAGCTTGTGAAAGCAGAAATCTGCTATTACATAATTTGGGCAAAATAAGCAAAAATATTATTTGAAGTATAACTACATCCTAGATCTAATTCGACAGAAAGATCCATGACTGATGACCACCTTTTTAAGTGAATCAAAAAATACAAATAATATTGTCAAATAGTAACAGAAGATCTGCTACCAAATATAATCTAACAACAGAAAAACAGTTAAAAACTTACCTTTGCCAGCTGTAGGCAAGCAGGAAATAATAGAAAAATAGATCTAGTGTAATACATTACATTTTATTTTACCGTTATGATATACATACAGGATAATTGGTAAATCTTTTTGAAACAAAATGGATTTAAAAAAAAAGGAAGAACTTGATCAAAGATTATGAGGAATTCATAAATGTTACAGGACTGTGATTTAAAAATCATCTAACACCCTATTTTTAAAAATTGTTAGAGTGATTGTATTTTTCAAATTCCTACACAAATCAGCCTTAGGTGTTCCGTCCAAGCTACATGCAAATGCAAAAGATACTGAGTGCTGTATTGTGATATACAGTTAGGAAAAAAAACCCATCCATTTTATTCTCTATACTTTCTCAATCCTGGGAAATACTGAGAGCATATTTGGGGAGAACTTTGAAGCAGTAATACTTCTGCTTTTTTAACAATTAATTTTCTTCCCTTCTTAACGGAATTTGTTGTCCTGCTTTCAAGTTGCCTCTAACTCAAACACATTGTTTTGCCTGCTATTTTCCATGTTACACTGTCTGTTTCAGGTTGTGTATTTATTTCATCTTTTGGAAACTGTTAGCCAAAAAACTACCTTTTTTTTTTTTTTTCTATCAAGATAGGACAAACACAAATATATATTTTAAAACCACAGTAAAAACTTACAGAACCTATTGCAGGAGTTTTAGCAAATTCTTTGGGTGTTGTTTTAGACAAGGATATCCTTTTTGGCAGAATAGCATCCTGAATATGCGTTTTGCTATCTTTGCAAGAAACTTCCAGTTTTAGCCCAGCTGCAAAGGCTATAAAAATCATCACATCCTCAGTGACTCAGCAGAGTTGAGTGAACTAAGACTACCAAGAATTCCATGTTTATGGCACATGCTCAAGTGGGTCTTAGCAATAACCAAATCACTAGGCATCTTCTCTGCCCCATTCCAGCCTAGAAGCAAATACATGTTTTCTGTAGCATTTACCCTGTGCTAGGGTGAACTACAGGAACTGGCCTTGTAAAGTGACAATCTCCTCCCTTTTGTGGCTCTTAGTGACAGCCCTGCTTGAGTTTAAGCGTCGTGGAAGCAATTTGAACTAACAGGAAAGAAGAGCAGGTAGAGATGAAAAATCTAGGATTGAAGGGATTAAAAAGATTTAGAGACTGGGAGTAGCAGGGTAAGAACAATGACTCTGATACAGAAGAGGCTGGAACTGGTTGGATGAAGATGAAGGTGCACATGCTCTTTGCAAAAGACAGTGGCAAGACATGCATTACATTCCTTCAAGTGCCACTCCATACAGATAGTGACAGCTTACATCAGGGACATTTCAACTCCTGATCATTGACCAGGACTCCAAAGTGCTACATGCTTAGAAACACAAGCCAAAGAGACAATCCATGCCCCCAGAACCTTATCATTTAAGTATCAGACAATGAAATAAGAGATGGAGAGAAAGTGGCAGAATATGAGAAAGCAGCTGGCCCATATGGTCCAACCATCAGGCTGAGGACAGCACACTGATGGACTGCCAGCATTTTGCCGAAGGACCCATTCGAAAAGGATACTAGTTAGTTTTTCAATGTTTCTGAGTAGCACAGGAGAGAGCATAAAGGTGACTGCCTGCCTGCCTAAGGTGGTGGAGGCCAGCGTTAACCTTTTCTTTCTAAAAGGGGGAGGGGGATAGTTAGGAGTTACTCCACTCTTCCAGGTGGCAAAGTGTATAATGGATATAAAGCTGCCAAAGCTGCTGAGAAAATGATGCCAAATGAAAAAAAAAATCTTTTATTTCTGTTTGTTTCTAAAAGATTTAATTAACTGAACATACAGATACAAACATCTCAGAACTATTTTAAAAGAATTGCTTTACAAGAACATTAAATGCCACCATAAGGTTAAGCAGTGGTATTTCTTGTAAGTATTATGACACCAGTACCTTAATATTAATCATATTCCAGTTTTCCCACAAAGTCTCTGATGTAGCCAGTTCAAAGATTGAGTGATACAAATAACATTTAAAAGAAATGTGAGATTAATGATTTATTCCATACCACTAAACTATGATAGGGAGAGAAATTTTATAGTGCTCATAATTGGTATAACCAAATAGATTGAAATTGTTAATGTTATATTTTCATGACTAATCCCAAAGCATTTTTTCATGTGGCAAGTTGCCTGCACTCTCTTCTTGATTTCACAACACTGACTGCTCCACTTGGATGATTTAAATGTCCACACAAGCTTTCTCCATGACGCTTTTTTGGTCAGATGGTGGTTTAGTTGGAAATGTCTTCAACTTTGCGGTCATTGGATTGATGTCTTGCGATACCAATGTATGACCTGTGTATTTGACTCCCTTTGCTACTCCCTTGCTACTTAGTAAATAGGAACTTGACGTTGTGTACATGGGCTCTAAACAGCATTTTTATGACAAATTGTAATTGTTCTCTGCAAAATCTCAAATTATTTTCCTTTTGTGAGCTGTTTTGATAAGCGACAGCATTCCAAAAGAGAGATGAGGAAAACTATACATCTCAGATCAATTGATTCCTAACCTCACTTGTTTTTCCAGTATCTGTCTCTCTTCTTTCTTATCTGCAGACATTTTCAAAAAGAGACCATCTCTCAACTCATGGTGGTGTAGGACCAGAACGATGCTTGGCTTTGTGTTGCTTCATTAAGACAAGACAATCCCCTCACATGCTGCTGTTACTCCTTTGTTATGACCAAGTTATTAAGAGTGGTCATCACTTCAGCAGCCTTTCTAACTGTATGAATAGATGTCCTGATACACTGCTCGTTAAGAAAAGGATCACCTCCTGCACCTTTATGTGACTCAGATGAATCCATCTTTAATTGAGACTTTCCCTGGAACATTCGTGTCCTTGGGAAACGCCTGGCTTTTCGACAATCATGCATCCTTAAATACTCTGTTCTTTGCATTCCAACATGCTTATTCAGAATAGTGGAACTGAAGAGCAGTCTCTTTTTTTTTTTTATCACAGCTGACATTAGCATGTCTTCACTTTTGTTTTGGAGCCACCTAATACTATGAAAGTGCAGAACCAAGTTGCTTTACTCAGAAATGAAGAAAATGGCTAGTATTCATTTTAGAAGTTGGTCAGGTACAATAGTAATTCGATTCCAGTGCCACCCTTAAATGTCTATTTGCCTCACTGGTAGTATAGAATATGAAGTTTCTTATAAATTACATGAACGATCCTACAGTGCCATACAGCATCAACAAGAACAGACTGCACATTCAGATCAGTTAGAGAACTGTAGGTTGGCCTTTTGGAGTGCCGCTGCTGTGCACATGCAAGAGCAACATTTCCGTTTTCTGCATTTGTGGTAATTGCCATAAAGATCAGTCAGACCCTGGGTGTCTTATTATAATCACGTCTATTTTTTTTCAGGAGTTCCTGATTTGTTTGTTTTGATTCAGCTCTGAGGTGATTGGATCTTGTTCATGTCATTTTAAGCACTCTTACGTACACAAAATTATCTTATATGGAACAAGGCACCAATAACTGCAGAAAATATGGCCTTTTTTATACAAAAGGAGTATCTTACTCCTTCCTTTCTACTGCTTTCTTTTCTACAAAAGGAGTTCATGGTATAGATCATAGGAATAATTCTACCACAGCTTACGAAAACTCTTAGAAGAGTTTTGAACTTGAGAATACAGAAAACAGTAGAGGCTGTGAAAACAAAGGATCATTTATTGTCATTTACACATACCACTCGATTAAAAATGTGAAATGTTTAATGAAATGCTTGCACTTTGACAAGTTGTCATTTTCAGCTAATAATGATACATTAACTTTGGAAGGTAGAATTTTACCTAGAAGGCAATGGAAAATGGAAATGTTAGTATTTATTACCAGCAAAAAATTAACCTTAATACAGCTAGGTGTGTGGCATATTAATCATCATCTGCTGTTTTAATTTCTTTAATGAAAACTCTCAGTTGCTTTTACTTATCTATCAAGAGAATTTCAGGATTAGAAAAGATATTTATAAACACAATATATAAAAACATTGAAACATATCTCCTTAAGTTGATTTTTCTCTACATCCAGCAGTTTATAAAGATATTTAATTTTTTTCTAGCTGTTGAAAGTTCTTCGTGTACATTTTATTAGGATGAGTGAGTTGCATTTCTTATCTTCCTAGAGGATGAGGAAGATGGGGACAGACTTTCAAGGCTTGATTATTATTAAATGACATTTTTTTTGCAAAGCCCTAGTTGTTTTTCTGCTTTCTGTATGTGGAGAGGGTGCTGTATGATACACTTTAAAAACTAAAACAATGTGATCTTGTATTGGCTGGAAATGCTTACATGATGCATTAATTAAAAAATAAGATACATAAAAAGTAGTTGACAAATTCTCTGGTAATATTAAAAATGTTTCATAGCAAAGAAGAAAAAAATGGAAATTAATTTAACTTAACATATACACTAGCTCTCAAGTACTTGGTGTTATATCTTGATTAAAAATAACTCTTTAACTTCAGGCAAACATTTTTCTAGGGGGAAACAAAATGAACTTCCTAGGAAACTGAACATGTTTACATCTGACAAAAGGTCAGCTATAGATTCTTCTTAGGAGTAAAATTGTACCCCAAGAAAATCAGCCTAATATATGTAAATGAAACAGGAATCTTAGAAAATTACTTAAGGTTATATCTTTAAACCCTAGTTCTTGCAGTTTCTTAAAAACTGATTAATTTGACTATGCCCATTTGTACCTTGAGAGCAGAATACAGAATAATCAAATTTGCTCATATAGGCAGAACTGGAGGTGTTACAAAAATCAGTCAAACATGGATTCTTTTAAGATTAAACCTTACATTAGGTTAAACTTCACAAGTTACTCTATTGCAATGAATTCTATGGATTAATTGCAAAGTGCCAACATTGAAGAATATTAAAACTAAAGGCAAATAATAATTTACGCATAGATTTTTGATATATATACAGTTCAGTCATACCAGTTTGCGTAAGTTAATACATAAGCATGACATATTTTGAGGCTTTTGATCTTCCCTTAAACTGTCTTTAAAATAAACCTTATTTTTCCTATGGTTTCCACCTAAGAATTGTAGTCACCCTAACTGTCTAAGATAATATCAAGATGTGTAAATCTTACTTTTTAATTCTTTACCCCTATCAGTGATTTTTTTCTCTGAAAATGTAATTTCTGTATATCCAAACTTGCAATTGTTCATTGTACCTTTTCTTTCTATAACTTTCCCTGACTTGTAGTCATCATTTTCTAGTTGCTTTCACTTCCATGTAAAACCTGTGTCCAAGAAGAAGAGCATTTCCTTGGCTACTACTAACTATGGTCACTTTTTTTTGTACTTTCTAACTGATGTACATGAAGTAGAAACATTAGGAGGGGAACACAGTGAACTCCCAGTACCCAGCCCAGATCCAGGTAATTGGGAAGAGGTGAGCAGAAGCACTCCTCAGCTGTTGCCCCACCTTCGCTTTTGCAGTGTTACTTACGTCCTACAAAATACCCACCTTAACACCCCTGAGGATGAATGGTTACCTCACCCTTCCAAACTGTTTCACTGTTTTTGAAAGCTCAGTCAGGATTCTAGATAACTGAGCTTAATGAACACATTTTACTGTCTTCTAATAGCAAAATGATAGAAGATTACAGGATGAATGGAAGGCTGTGAGACTAAGCGATAGCAAGACTGATGGAGGAGAATGGTTTTGGGTCAACCTGCTATAGACTTCAGACATTAAACCAAGTTGAGTTTAAAACACACATCTCCTTTCTGTCGCGCTGTATGTACAGCTATATAATAATGAAGAAGGATTATTGTATACAGTCATATGATGTTGTAAGAATGTAATGGCTATTACAAAAATACTTGGACTGCACTCAGCCTCCAGAACAACAAAATCATATATGCTTCCTATGTGCAGATATCTACATCACAGAATACTTTCAAAGAGAATATATGAAAATTTCAAGATAAGATTAATATATGCTATCATCTACCTTGGTTCTCTCTGAAACAGTATTTTCCTCAAAGGAAAATGAGGAAAAGTTAAACCTGGGTTTTTTTGAAAATTTTTTATATGCAGTTTAATATTACACTGAGGGGTGCAAAAATCCAGCAGCCCATCTAGTGCCTTTCAGCTCACAATGTACTGTCTGCATAGCAATTTTAGATAATTAATATATACAATGTATGATAAATCTGACCTAAATCTATAAAATTCTGAGAATAGATTGATGCTTTTCTATTCAACACTACACTGGCTGGATACTGAAAAATATAATATACACCAAACACCATCTCCATGGTAATATGTGGGTCAACTGTAATTAATATGAAGCTAATTGCTGTATTTTCATGGATTATAATAAAAATAATGACCTGCAAGTCAGGATTTCCCTCACTGGTAATAATAATCTGAGTTAAAGAGCTTCTGGCTAACAATAAACTGCCACGAATATTTCTCTAGTGAATGAGTTCTGCTTAATTAAACTTCATTGAGGAAGCTGCCACATACTTTACCGACTAAAACGACAACCAAAGCCAAAAAAGAAAAAGAAGGCCAACTTACAAAGTGGGGATATACCTGTGTTGACATTTCCTCCTTTAGGATTCATCTTCTGAGCTTGACTTGCAGGAATAGGCTTATACGATTGACCTGTGGCTCTGTACATGGCTTGAACCCAGAGTATTCTATCCTGCTCGTCGTCACTGGCGAATATCACAGTATCGCCTTCTTTAACAGCATTGAAAAACATTCGACCACCCTGAAGACCTGGAGCAGGAAATAGGAAGGTGATCTTAATACAAGTTACTCCTAAATCACCATCAAAGTTTATCATCAATATTTATATTTATTGGTTTTCTTCTGTGTGTGTGGGGTGTTGGGTGTTAAAACATTTCATAGGTATTTATGACCTAGAAATATGATAAATCTAGAGCTATAAGGATCAAATGGTAAAACATGGAAGTAACATACAAGTAGAACAAATATAGAAGTCATAGGAGAAAATATTTCCGTAATTCCATTTCCAATTCAATTCCAAGTTATTTCTTATTCATCTTCTCTGTGTCATATGCTATTTTGCATTTCTCTAACATACACTCCTTGTAGGTATCATTTGCTTAGCTGGAAGTCCCTGTCAACTTCATCTCCTCTTGAACAGAGGCAGCTCTGTATCTCTTATCACAGTTGATGCTCCTTCCTTGGTACCTGTTTCTCACTCCAGTGTTTTGTTCTGGGAATGCATAGCCAGTACAGCACATGCCAGTCAATGTGGCTGTGCAGGGGTCTTCTTTATGACAACATTGTTTTGGCTTTCCAAACACCTTCTGAGCATTGTTTGCCTTCCCAATTATTCTAAAGATTGAGCCAACGTTTCCAAAGATCAATCTTCAATATCTCAGAAGTCTCTTAAATTCATAACCCTCCACTGTGTAGGTAGAATTGTTTTTCTCTGCATGCATAACTTTGATTTTGCTCTGCCATTTTAGTACTAACTTGTGTAGATTTTTGTGATATCTTCAAATTTATTTTTGATTACTCTGAGCAATTTGTTTTTACCAAGCACTGTCATCATTCACCTTCTTTTCTAAGTCATTTATGGATATACTTCACAGTACACTGCCATGTGACTCCACCACCAAAAACAGAGAAAAGGGAACGACTGACTAGAATTCATATTTTTTTCCTTGTATCATATGCAGTCTTACAATGTTTCAGGCAACCTTAGTGTAAGTTTATTGTTCATTCTTAAAACAAGCTTCTTTCTAAAAGCATGATTCTTCAGACTAGAAAATCCTAGTGGAATAACTGCAAAACTTCAGATGCTGAAAAAAAGAACCCTGGGGTTTCTTGCTACTAGATCAAAATGAACAAAGTCAATCAGCTATTTTACACAAACATATTGCACTTCAAAATCACGAAAAGTACCTGTGTGAGGAGCTGTATAATCCACAGTGTATCCTTCAAGTTGCATCAGTTCCTGAGGCTCAGATTTCTTTTCTCTGTAACTGCACATTGCAAATGTGTATTGGCTAACCTGAATAAGAAAGGACTTCTTAATTGCAGAATTCCGCTCTAGAATTGTGTAACACATGTACCACTGTTAAAATAGCTTTCAGTTGTGCTGAAGAAATAAACCCCATTTTTCGCAGAAACATTTACAGTGTAAAACTTTGTGTTCTTTCCCCTTCCTGCCAAAAGGAAGGAAAAAAAAAAAAGATATAAACACATCTTTCTGCAGTTCCATGAAATACAATGTATTTTGGGCTGTTGCTTTATGAAAAATTGAAAGGAAGCAAATTAGGTTCTGGCAGGAAAAATACTTGGTACTGACCACACTGCTCAGTCTACTGTGTGAGAAAAAAAAAAGTCCTGTATTCCAAGAAACTGGAAAAAAAAGGACTTTTACCTATAGAAGTGATGTTTGCACAAGGAGTGCCACAATAACCATGCAGCTGGAAAGGCCAACACATCATCTGGCCAATCCTAGGACCAGAACCTTCAGTTCAACTTTACAGTCTAATTTCTGCATCTTTTGCACCCCTCTTCACACCCATCTCCAGGTTGCTTGGCTCACTGGATACAGTACGGTGTAGGCCAAGCAGCCTGCAGCTGGCAGGAACAACATCAGTTACTTCATCAAGTACATTTATTAAAAAATAATAAAGCAATAAGAAGAGAATCTGTCATCAAGTGGTTTAAGACTCCCTGGACAGAATAGAAAGCGATAAGGAGAGCTGAGGAAAAAGTGACTGGAAAGACAAAGAAAGGAATGTAACAGCTGGGAGAGGAAAAGCAATGACTGAAACAAAACTGCGATGTTCCCAGCCTTAAATGAAGAGCTGGAAAGACCAGAAGTGAGTGACCAGAAGAAAGAGCTTCTGAATCTGTTGAACACCTGAAACTTAAGGGAACTGAACTTACACGGGCCTCTGAAACTCTCGTCTCCAAGGACCGCAGGACACCTGGCCAACTGACTTGTTTTGAACTATAATATCATTTCATAGATCTGTAAAATTATGCAAGGATCTAATGATAGGCAAGGAGCTTGCCTAACAGACAATGGACCATCTTTCTCTCAGTTGCTGATCCTCAGCTAACTGTTCCCTAGATTTATTGCTTTGGCTACAACTTCAGGAATGATCCTTTTTGAAGTCAAATTCCGACAGCTGATTTCAGCTTCATTCATACGTTTGCTGGTGCTGTAGTTGCATCCCACTCCACCTCAAAGTCCAGTGACTTCAACTGCTATTAACAAAAGATTTTTGTCTCTCTATAAAAGATGGATATTTTTGGAAAATAAGGATAGAAGGTGTGATTATAATCTACATAATGCTCTAAAAATGTTTTGTTATTTTAAGTATTTGGGGTTTTCTGAAACAGGGTCATGCTGTGCTACGGTGCATGCAGTGTGTGGTGACAGAACATCCTCTGCCACGGGTGTACAAACAAAAGGAACAAGCGTAACAGCTCTCCCCACAAAACTGCCATCAGGCCTCCAGTGCCAAACTGATGTCTCCAGACCCACAGCAGAAGTCTACAGCTGAGAGAAATTAAAAATAGGTATTCCAGTTTAATGAATACATTAGTTAAGAGAAGGTGGTTTTATAGGAGATAAGCATTTGAGAGACACTGTCAGGCAACTAAAACTGAGTGCCAGCTTTCCACATCAAATTTAGTACATTCACTTAAGCAGGTTGTACCAAGGAGAGAGAACGAAATATAAATTAACACAAAAAACAATCTAGCCCATCGCTTCCAGAAATTCACATTTTCAGGCTAGAAGGGACTATGACAACCAGCCAGCCTGTCCTCCAGCATGACATACACGGCAGAATTTCACCTCAGGGCTTGTGCACTGAGCCCACAGTTTTGCTTTCGTTTATAGTATGTATTTTAGAAAATGACTGTATTTTGGTTTAAAGATTTTTAAGTTATCCCTGGGGTAGCCGGGCAGGGCCGGGCAGCTGGGGGCACCGGGGCAGCCCCAGCCCCAGGCATGGGGCACAGGCCGAGGCTGGGCTGGGATATGGGCCTGTGGGTGGGCCCGTTGTGGCGGGGCCCGTCGCTGGGCTGGGCAGGGCTGTGGGGAGCTGGAGACCAGCCCTGCCGTGGTGTTACTGGGGCAGGGGATGATGGCCCTGGGAGGCTGAAATGGGGTCCTGCGCTGTGGGAAGGGCGGGGAGGCCCTGGGAGGCTGGGCAGGGACAGGGCCGGTGTTCCCCTCAGGGCCCTGGCACAGGGCTCATGCCATCTGCTGTAGGCCCAGCAGCAATATCACCTCTCTTACTGCTTGCCATTTCCCTGTTTATAGTCCCAAGAACTGTATTTGCCCTCATGCACAAGCACGGGGGGAGCGGTTGGTTAGTCACACACTGCTAAATCCTTTGCAATTATCACTAATGAGAGCTCCCTCCTCTCCTTTTCTTACAAACTGAACCTACAGATACCCGGCACTGAAGTAAAAACTTTTTTCGATCTGTTCAATTTTGTTGAATGAAATAACCTGAAGCACCCACATCACCCACATTTTCATGTCAACAACTCTGTATAACCACACTGTACAAACAAACTCAGCCATCAAAAAGGAAGCTAGCAGACTCTAATGCTGGAAATGCATAGAATGCCCAGCTGTTTCAGATTTTTTCAGCCACTCTATGGTTTTGAAGATCAGCTTATGGATGAGCTGGGCTATGTGCCTTTGTTCGTTTTTAACCTTACCCCTATAACAAGACCGAGATGATAACGTTGTTGATTTTACTTTTTTCAAACATATTTCAAATTAATTTTCTTATTTTAAAGGAACAATTTATTAAAAGATATTAATGACAAAATCAGTCTTACACTTCATCTTTTTGTTAAAAATGAGACATTTTAAAGTCTCTCCACCAAAGAAACAAATAAAAGAGTTCCAGAAAACTTTGTTGGTGGAGAAAAAAAAGTCTCAACAAAATAAAGAAATACAGAACTTGACTTGTTTGTTTACATTCGCAATCTCTTAAACCCTTTTCCTATCATTATTGGTGGCTGCTACAAGTTACTATATAGAGAACCACCAGCACAATCTGAAATTACACTTTTTTATATAGATCTATGACTGGCTTTAAGTATATTTTTAGTAGTTAATGGAGCCTGTAAGTAGTTTTTCCTTAGAATTCAGCAAATTAGTACCAATACTTCATTGAATAACAGGTACTCAAAAGTCAGGATTGTGTACAACACATTCTCAGACAAAAACAGAATCAAGCCACCTTCTTAAGTAGTAACGCTTAACAGGAGAAAAGGGAACCTCCTTCCTGTAACTGGATTTACCTGACTTCTGTAATTTTACAGAGGTCCAAACACCCAACTAACAGCTGTTCTACCTATTTTGTAACAAAGTGGAAACCCAACAACCTGTGCGTGCGTGACAGATAGGCACAGAAATGCGGACATGACTTATGAGCAGTGTCACCAGGAGATGTCCCCATGGGGCAGAAAGACCCCATGTTCAGTGTGCCGGGAGGAACCGTTACTGCAAACCGTCAGGCTGACCCTGTGGTGCCAGCTACAGGGCATCACGGGGGGGCCTGCTTCAGGAGTTCACCAGCAAGAACTAGCCTGCATAGCTGGGGTGTTTAGAAAAAAATTATCCATTAAACAAATGACTGACTTTTCAAACACTAGAACAGATGAAATGAAAATGACAGAAGTATTCTGTATTCAGATTACTGGAGGAAGATATTTTCAGACAGTAAACTAACTAAAACACAGCATGTCCAGCTGAGGCTTTGTACCTAAGATGTTATGTCCCTGTCTTTTTCTACTTTGAAGTGAAGAACCTTTTAGAGAAGTGACTGGATTGTAAAAAGAAGAAAAGCAAATACAATGAAGGGGTTAAAATTTCCAGACTCTGTAACCTTCCTCTAACATTGAGCTGTGCTTTCAGAAACCACTAACAACTTCTAAGATGTGTAGCAATAACAAGGATGCACATTACTCACATGACGCTCCTGAAAAATCAACATTATTCATCGAATTTCACACCTGAGTTAAATTTCCAAAGCAGGTATAAATCATACTGATAGCCTCTGTCTTACAACTGAATTTCATGGCCTTAATATTTTACTAACGTAAGCTAAAGGCTAATCTATAGAGGAAGACTCATCAATATGTCAATAACATATCAATACAACAGACAGATATTCATTATTGAATGCTTATTTCACACATATTGACTTCAGCTTATTGTCAGTGTACGTATCATGGCTGGACTACATAAATGAGCCAGAGCTGTGTGGACAGTAAATATTGATTTAACACAGTATTTTTTATACAGCCTTATTGAGTTGATAGCTGCTTTAAAATGAAATAGATGTCTAAATCCCATCACAGTTGGAAAATTCCTGTAATATTCTCCTCTAGTATTTAAATTTCAGCATAGAAAGCAGAACACAGTTAAAATTAACTTGGATGGAATAAACTGGTCTGCCAGGTGGCTCCATATTATTACACACACAGAAAGACTATGTGTCTGTTGGGTGTGCACTTTAAAACTCAGATGACACCTGTAGCTTAGAGGAAGAAAACAAGGTCTTTCTTTTTGTGAAAGGGGGAGTGTAAAGTAGGAGTATTGAAAAAAAGCATGAAGGACAAAGGAGCACCTAGCCTTTTTTTTTTTCCCCTTTATCTTTAAGTTATTTTCCCTTCACATCCATGCCTTAACAGCTATCCTGTATAGAGATCTTCACAGCCTTTACAAATCTTAAAGTCACAGAAAGTCCTCAACTCTTCAGAGGACCTTGGTAAAATCATAACCCAAATGAATTCAGTAGACTTTCAGAAGATCCTGTTCAACCTTATAACCATTACTCACTGTTTATCAATATGCAAGCTAATTCCCACTGAAGCCAGGGAGAACTGGCAAATTCAAATACTCTCAGCTTTGCTTTATTAAAGACCGTGTTCAGGATTTTTTTTTACATCCTTACAATTTTCATCATTTAGGAGTAGGAGGAAACCAGGTGAGTGTGACTGACAGAGTGGTAGAGAAAGGAATCAGGCTTTCTGTAAAGTAGTTTTAGAAGCGGTCGTTCTTAAAAAAGCCTTGTTAACAGGCTTCATCCTTTGTATGACGTTTATGGAGACTCACACTTTAACAGTTTTCTGTGAACAAAACAAAGGACACAGAAAAAGAGTGTTCTCTGAACTGACTCAGAGGAACATAAGATTTCTAGCCGCAATCTGTAGACAGGCAAAACCAGCAAATAATGATTTTTCCAAAGACTCACAAAACCTGTTCCATTTCTCCATTTTGACCACTCGAAATCTACATTCTATTCCTTCTCTATTAATCTCATGTTAATGTCACCATTCACTAGCACGTGAAAAAAGTTACAGTTCTAAGTTTGGACAAAAAGTTATGAAATATCAGCCCAGCACATTTTTATGGCCAAGAACAATTGCTACACTAGATTTTCTGTAGAACTACAGAATTTTACCCAATTTAATATTGCAAGGAAGAACAAAAAATAGCATTATTAAAAAAAATTATTAAAAGGTTGTTAAGAGTAAGCATTGTTGCTTTCATTTAATTTTGAAGGCAGGAAATCTTGTTTGGTTGTTGAGATAGAATAAATGAAACAGTAAGTACAATCCACCTTGTGAAACATAACTATTTTAAATTGAGTTCTGCTCAGTGAGTGAAAGCTGTCAGCGGAATATTTCAAGATCAACAACTTCATTCAGAAATTTCTAGGTTTCAGTTGAAACTGCTCAGTGTACGGACTCACCTATATACACATAGAATTCAGTGACATCTTTGTTTACTACATATGTAAATTTTTTTTAAAAAGTACCCTGGATGTCTCTATGCTGTAAGAAGCTTGGAGTAGTGCTGCATATGTTGCCTTAAGATACTGATTTACTAATGGCTCCAGAAACCATATGTAAGAAAATTGATAGTCCAAGACTACTTTTTAACAACATTTCATGGCAGACCACTAACCTGAACAAGAACAAAGTAGCGTTTTTTCCACCGCTTCCAAACCTTCTGTCCTAGAGCGTACAAATATCTGCAAAGGAAATAATAAAGGGAATGTTTTTTCCATTAATAAGAAGCATGATATTAGGAGGACCAAATACAAATGAGTGCGTTCATTTGCTCTACCTACTGAGCTGCCGCTTCAGTGTTGTCACATCTAAGAAGTGATTTTTCCTTCTATTTACTCAGATCATAAAAATGCAAAGAGATATTAATTTTCACTCAAAATAAGACAAAAAGCAGAAACAAAAGATCTCATGTTTGAGAAGATTAACCTGCGTTTCACTTATATTTCAACAATTGCCTCTGAAAATAGAAAAAACAGCTTAAAGTAGAACACTTTTGACTACACACAAATACAGAACGTTAGAAAAATGAAACTCCCCACCAATTTTTTTTTCTATTTGGTTTCCACGGATTTGCTAGTGTTTCTCTAGTCCCTGAGAAGTCAGTCACAGTATCAGTTTGGGAAAATGCTCAAATAACAAAACGGCAGCAGACACACAAGATTAAATTTTCTTTCCAGAGTAAACCAGAATCTAATTTCCCAAACAGAAGCACTTCACTAGAAAGACTCTTAGATTACAAAAAACTCCTTGTCATCTTGGCAATTTCCAGGCTTTGAATCAGACGATGTAATCAGGAGTATCAACCAGTGAGATGACAAACCCACAGATGTTGATACTGTTTGGCAGTAGAGGAAGCACCCTCATTACCCAAGAAGTTGCAGCAAGTTTTATGGCATTATAGCAACACTTTTTTCTGTCACTGTCATCATGTTGCATTGTTGTTAACAAAAGCAGCAAGAGGAAAAGGATGAGCTGTGGCATTGTCAGCAAGAGCCTACGAGTTGCAAGGATCTGCTGCTTAAAACCTGCCGGGAGAGCAAAAAATTACCTATGAGATGTCCCTTCTGAGCTGGCCAGCTTCTATCAAGGGCATCTAGTACAACTAGGTGGGTGACAGGCCGAACAAAGACCCAAATTGTTCAGACCAATGAATGCTGGCTTCACAGGGCACTCTCCAGAGGATGCTGGCACATGCATTATGGAGAAGTTTCAGTAAGTAGGATCAGAGATGGTTGGTTGGATGGTTGATAGATGGACAGGTGCCTTTGCATTAAGGAGGAAGGGTCTGCTGCCCTCTACTTTCTGACCACTTCTGGGACTTTGTTGCCTGGTGGTTTTTAACTCACTCGAAAAACAGAGCAATGAATCAACATCAACAGGCAAGTTAGATACAGACAAAACCTTTCTTCCACCAGTCCTGGGCATACACTCAAGCACATACTTTCCTGCTTTAGGTATAACAAAGGACAAATTTTTGTCTCACGTGAATGTTTAGCGTAATGCTTATTAACCGTGGTGGTTTGTCAGATTACACAGCAGTTCCCTCATTACTACGACACCGATATCTTGCTCTTCTTCAATTCCTGCTACGCCTGTGTTGAAGCTCTGCCTTGCTTGGTTACTCTGCTTTTTAGTCCTATGAGAGAGAGGACAATTGGCTTTGTGTACAGGATTACCCTGGGGCGTAGCTTTCTTTGAATAGTCCAGATCCTGCCACACTCATTTTAACTTCTTAATTCCGTGATTATTACAAATTCAATAAAAAGAAATGAGAGGAGTAAGGGTTATGTCAGAAAAAGTATCAAAAAAAGGGCCTACGAGGGTTTATTTGAAAGTTTATAATGCTTTGCAACTAAGGAAGTATTTACCTCACAGAGTGATAGGTGCATATTCCCCCACAAAATACAAGCTGTTTTGCTTTTCAAAAGAGCCAGACGTGTTCCCCTAACTCAGAGCATTTACTTTCCCCAAAGCACACCACATTGTTATTGCCCAATTAATCTCTTCACCATTGCCATAATGTGGAGGGGGAATGACTGATGAATTTCACTCAGCCTTGAAGAATAATGACTGGGCTGGGAGGTGGGGGGTGGAGAAAATTAGAAGGGTCCACAGGTGGTCTGTGGGCTCTCTCAGTCTGAAGCCTGCCCTGTTCTTCACGGTGATTCTGGCACCACATCCCTCAGAATATCCTGAAGGTTTCTCTGAGGTATGTCAGAGGACAACTGCCCCATGGACTGTGAAGACCAACTGAGAATGCACAGTCCTCAAATGTTACAGTACAACGATATCCTGACCATGTTCCCACCCTCTCAGCATGTCTTAAATGACTGTAAAGGAGCCACAGACTAGCAGAGGATTCTTCTTGCTCGAGAGTAAACCTGGTACAATCAGCATCAGAGAGTTTATGTTCTAACAGGAACATGGCAGAAAATGAGTAACCCAATCCTGGAAACACCAGGTTTAATTTGTTCTTTTTCATTATTAACTGAGCCTGGTATAGAAAGGTGCTTTTAAAATAAGAGATCTTAAGCAAGAACACTTGCTATCAAAGTTGGTTGCTTTTAAAATTACTTTTCATGTAAGATCTACCACATACGGTCCTGCAGTACAGGCAGAACTATCACAAGTTACAGTAAATTCAAAATTATAAAATAAGAAAGCATACAAAAAAGAAATTAAATAGCCGCATGCACTTTTTATTCCCCTATAAATCAATTCCAACTAAGGGGTTAAATAAGAGCTTCCTTGGGAAACAAAGGAGTGGAACATTAACTACCTGACTTTAAAATCCTGGGGTCTTAGATAAGATTAGGTAACAAAGAAAACAGCATTCATGACACAAAGCTGGGATTTAGTACAGAAGTGCAAAGCCTTATGTTACTTGGTTTTACAAATCACTATAAACACACAGGTATAATCTTATGCTATTAATCCCTCTTCCATCGCCATCTCTAATGGTCACAGTTCTTTTCTAATGTAGAAAGTTTCAGCCATTTACAAGGGATACATCCTGTGCTCATCTGAAGCGTGCACGCTCCTAAAAGATGAGGAGATTAATTCTTACTCAAGAGTCTAACATTTATACACAGAAGGAGCCAAAAATCCTAGACTCTTAGAATCCTGTTTCAACTTCTCTTTCCCATTTATTTTCCACTGAAAAAGTGGGAAGCAAAGGACCTAAGAACCTTGTTAAATTTGGACAGTATTAGCTAGGATTTATGGAAACTTCAGACGATGTCTAGAACAGAAAAAGTCTACAAAAGCCAGTTTCCAGAATTAAATGACACTTGGGTTTCACAACTGGAGCAGAAAATTAAGAGGTTAACAGATTCAGAACTGAACAAAGTCCTAGAGCTAAGTTGAAGAATGTTTTAAGATGGGGAATTGCATCATTTTTCACACGTCTCAGGTAAATGTCCGTACCACAAACCAGAGCAGACCCTCATAGTCACCAGCTCGCGGAGCTGCAGCCTGCTATTTCTCTACCCCTGTGTGTACCTGTATTCACCTACGAGCCTTGCTCACTTCCCTCCATTCAAAAAAAGAATGTGTACAAGATGCATAGTGTTAATTCTGCAGACTGCTTTAAAAAAGCTCAGCAGCAACAAGAAACACAGAAGCCATTCCTTCAAATACTGTACCTTTCTTTAAGTAAAATATTCTGTGCAATACAAAGAAGAAACTGATATTTAGAAGTAGCTAATTCCATATTTCTAACAATTAACCACACCATTTGCTACAATTTTTCTTACTCTAATTTGGGTTCCAGAGTTGGGGTAATCTAAAATAATTCTTCAATTATTACAGTTCAGCCATACACTGAGAAGGAAGATACTGAAATAGTTCCCCTGTATCTGAGCACTGAAATAGTAATTGCTTATTACTAAATAGATTTATTGTGACTTCTCTTAAGACCATGTTTTGAGAGTGTTTAATGTGTAGACTGACAAGAAGTTGGGAAAGATTGATTTTCTGATGTACACAGAAACAGATACAGATAGCAGACTTTTATTCTGTAAAAATATATTAATATAATAAATATGTATGCATAGCATCTGTATCTGTACATGTGAACATTAGAAAGCATATTTATACTCGGCATGTATATGCTTCATTGCCTTCTTCAGCTGTTTTCTGTTACTCACATAATTTCCAGTGACTTAAGACTAATGCACCTGCTTTTATACAGAACATAGAAATCAGGACCTTGATCAAACACGTTGAGTCATTAAGTGCTACCCCAATGTAAAGATTTTCTAACACAGTTTTGAAAACGCAAACGAACATATAAACCATGCAATCACTGTCCTGAGACTTTTGCTCTTAAAAACAGTTCTACAATTTTCTTTCCTTCAACATTATTTAATACTGCTTTCTTTCTCTTCACTCACTACCACATCAAAAAGTAAAAATTGTATTTGTACGGAGTCACAGATTTACCTGATTATACTTCACAATGCTTACAATATGGTAGAAAAATAAACATTTAATATTTAAAGTCAATTTTCCTGGAAAACAAAACAAAAGAAAAGAAATTACATTTCCACTACAAAATACAGAAACACCTAGATAAAAATGTTTTATATCTTATCTTGCCTCAGTCAGTATCATTTTTCTCCTCCAGAAATAGAACAAACAAACTGAACAACCATTTTTTTTAGAAAAATAAAATATGAAGGTTGAATATTTTTCAAAGTGCATTTCCTAGCATTACAAAAATGCAAAACCATATTGCTAAATATTATAGTTCAGTTTCAATTATGTGATGGCATACACAGGAAAGAAGATGGCAGCTTATTTGCTCTAAGTCCATGCTGCGAGAGTGCAGGGTTCTACTTTTTGATGAAAAAATCAGCACTAATGAATAGCTGAAAAACATAATTGAGTGTGGAATACCGGAGCTATTCACTGCTGGGGAAATGAGAAAGGACTTACTACTTCTACAGAGATCATTTTTAGACCGGCCTTTTTATTCTAAGGAATGAAGCAATCTATCTACATCTTGAATGATAAATTCTCTACTTGTAAAAGGCTTCATTTATCACAAACAATGAAAAAAATATAGAAAGAAAAATCAATACGTGTAGCAGTTTAGTCCAGCAAAGGCCTTTCTTAAAGAGAAACCTCAGTCAAGGTTGAAAGAGCAATTAATGCAGTCTCAAAAATCTGGGCCACTCTG